ATTGTCCGAGCAAATGCACACAGATAGATTTTAAGTACTGTACTTCATGACCTTCAATTCCTTTTAGCCACAGATATCAAATTCACCTGCCACAAATTAAATAATTGAGCTTTGGTTACTGGAATGTAAGCTTATTAACCGGCATTAATAAAACCAAACATACAGAATGATGTTCTGAATATTATTTTAATAAAATCCCTTTTAAATAGGAGCAAATGTAACAAAGATGAACCACTATAAAATGTTTTAGCAAGACATTTTAGATATTTTTTAAGTAAAAGAATAATCTTATACACAAGGGAAGGCAAATATTATGTTCTTCTATGAAAATATATGTTTGGGATCTGTTAGTTCCTTCCAGTGTGGGAACAGTGACGGGCAGTTAGAATAACAACCAATAAAGATCAAACTGAAGAAGGAGGTGTTGGGGGGAGAATCCTACACAAAATACAGTCAAAAGCTCTCCTTTGGCCTTGGTTCCTAAAAGGGTTCTCAGACTATAAGAAGGTACACTGCATTTTCCACTTCCTTCTTTACCCCAAATAACCATGAGGGTCCATACATTCGGAAATAGCTTTCTAAGTGGGATTCCAAACTTTGGTTACCAAAGAGACTACTTTATTTATCTATCTACTCATTTATTTGCATATTTATTTGTTCGTTCATTTCCTTTACTCATTTTACTAAAATGCAAGCTTGATAAGATCACGGATTTTTCTGTTTGTTCACCTAAAACAATACCTGCTACATAGTAGATGTTCACATAATATTTATGAATTCTTTAACTAATTCATCCTTTCATTCCTCAAAGGCTTATTGAAGGCCTACCACACGACAGGTTCTAGATATCCAATTCCAAAGGGAATTCCCCTGTAAATAAAATAAAACCAACTCATGAGAAATCTTTAAATTAGAGGAAGTAAGCAATATTTTCTCACTCTAAATTCAGTCTAAATTTAAAATAAGAGGACAGTTCCCTGTCCTGCCCAAGAAGAATGGCATGGAAAACTGTAGACCAGTGTAGTACATGTCCCAAAATGATATACAAAACAAAACAAAACTCTGGTTAAAAATGAAACACCTGGGTTGTGGGTGTAGCTATCAAAAGGTAGCAAGAAGGATCTGTTTAATGATGGAACAGTACTGTATCTTCACTGTGATGGTGGTTCTACAAATCTACACACGTGATAAAATTGCATATAACTAAAGACACCCACACACCCACATAAATGTGTGTAGAACTGGAAAAATCTGAATAAAGTTGGTAAATTGTACCAATATCAATTTCCTGGTGTGCTATTGTGCTATAAATCATGCAAGATGTTACCATGGAGGGAAATAAGCGAAGCATACAAGAGACCTCTCTGTACTATTTCTTACAACTGCATATCAATCTACAACGATTTAAAAGTAAGTTAATAAAATAAAATTAAACAGCACGATGCTTATCAAAACATTGTTTATCTTAGCAAAACATTGGAACCAAGATAGATGTCCAATAAAGGGGTAAATCTATATAACAGTATATTGAGTAACCAAAAATACTACAATTCTATGTTTGTGACGTGGAAGGGTGTTCACCATTCAGTAAGCAAAAGAAGGAGGATTTACAAAATATGAAAGTACGATCTAATTTTGTCAAAAAATAAAGAGCATTTGTAAAGGTATACACCAAAATGCCATCAGTGTCTATCTCTTATGGTAGGATCATGGGTAATTTTGTTTTTTTAATTTTGCTTCCCCATATTTCTTCATTTTTTTCCCTAAAATGAACACTATTACCCAAACAAATATCTAAACGGTTGCCTGTTCTGTGGATGGGACTCAGGTGAATTCTGTGTAGCTCTGGAACAAAACCCAAGACAAGTGGGAAGATTACATGGAAAGCTATGCCAGTTCAACATAAGGACAAACGAGCTACCCGCAAGAGCCATGGAACATGAACCACCACCTAATGAGCCCATGACTTCCAATCGGAATGGTGTTCACCAGGGCCTGGTGAATTCCTTATTAGCGCTTGTGTGGACGGGAGTCTGGCTTATGCAGGCTGAGAGGTGGGACCCAGCTGCTTTCCAATTCTAAAACTCTGTGGGCATTTGATTTTGCAACGAATTTAACAGACACCACCTCTCACTTCAAAAGCCCCTTTTATGCTTCAAAGCACTTTCACATATGCTGGTCTATATTAATTTCAGTTCAGTACTTTTTTTTTTTTTTAATCCTGACCTTACAATAATTCTGTAGAGTAGGCAGGGCGGGTATTATCACCTCCACGTTACTGAAGAGAAAACTGAGGCAACCAGAGAGTGATCTCCTTCGACATTACTGGTGAGTTAAGAGATCACATCTCCTTTCTCTTGACTCATGGCCTCACTCCTCTATCCTCTAACACCACACAGCCTCTCCCTCCCCATCAGAGTTTGGAAACTGGGTAGACTTGGCCTAAAGTTGCTTGCATGATGCCTGCCAGTTGAAAGAAAACCAACAATGTTTGGTACAGAGCGATAGTAGGTACTGACAATGATATGCCCATCTGACTATTCCCACTAACTTACATTACCTCAGTTAATGTCAAGTCACATTGGTGAATATGTCAACTCTGCTTAAAAATAAAGATTGATCAAACCAGCCGGTTGGCTTGAACAGCCCAAGAGGCTGATGAATCTAGTCGGGGTTCTCAGTCAATATAATTGCCCTGTACCTGTGTCTCCATAGTCCCAGGAAGGAGGTCATAAGGGGGCTTCTGGACGAGTTAAATAGTGAATGGGGTCCATATTGGGCTTAATGAAGCAGGGCTTTGTTACTTTTATCAAAGGAATTAACAGAAAAATTTTGTATTTATTTTGCAGTGGCAGCAGATTAAGCACTTCAGCAATAATGTGGCAATTCACCAAAAGAGGACTTAGTTAGGTGCTATCTGAAATCATGAAATTAAGTGGGAAAACATACACATGGAAAAGGTTTATAAGTTTTAGAAAAATAAATCCAAATTTTAGATAAATTATACTCGTCACAAAGTATACTAAACAAATGACATATTTTCATTGGCTGATAGCACAATTTATACACATATATCATTTTCCAAGTGCCAAGCCCTGCTCTGGGTGCCTCTCCCCACAACCACCCCATGAAAGTCATTACAGGAGGAAACCAGAGGGTGAGCAATGTTAAGGTCATTTCCCCCAAGTCACACAGCCACCAAGTGGAAGCAATAGGATTCCAACCCAGGTCTGACGACTCCCAAATCAGCATGCTTCACCATTACTTGTTCTCTCAAAACATTGAAAGTATATGCTCTTTATATAAACAGGAAGTAATGAAAGCTTCCTTATAATGGCATAATAAATCACTCCAGGAGATGTAGAGTTAACTTGAGAACAGCTGGAGAACAATGAGAGAAATTAGGCTGAACTTGACACATAACAACACACAAGGAGGCAGAAGCGCGATAGGTGAACGGAAAAGAATAAGGGCTGATGGAATCAATGTATTGGTGGTGTTAATAAATTATTGATCAAGGTGATAATGTCAGGAACGCTTGAACTATTTTTCTTGTTAGCTATATAAAATCCAATTTCCAGCATTCAATCCATTCATTCAACAATTATTGAGCACCTACCACATGCCAGTCACTGTTCTAGGCAGCATGATTACTGCAGTGACTCAGACAAGAGTTCTAGGCTTGGTGGAGTTCACATAAGCTCCATGAGAAAATGAGGGAGTCGAAAGGGAGCTTGAGGTAGAAGACTTTGGTTTTAATCCTGGCCAGATGGCCTTAAGCAAATTACTTGAAATCTCTCTGAGTCTCAGTTCTTTCACCTCTAAACTGAGGATTATAATATCTGTTTTTATTATATCATCTTTTATTAGGAAAACTTAGAGTTTATATGTGAAAAAAATTACTTATTCTTTGGTCTTGGAGAAACTGAGGTAGTTGACAAGGAATAAAAGTTTTGTCCTCATTATTAAATCCTTCAAAATATTTCCTTCCATATTTTCCATGATCTAAGCTTTCTGGGTTTAATGTTAACCATGTGTAAGACTTGCAGGAGTCAGGATAAGGTCATTCCTCCATACCTAGCCACCAATTTCAAAGTCTATGTTGCAGGCTTAAGATGCCATAATTATCTATGTTTCCCCTTATTGTGGAAGGAAGTTGGAGTTAAATTATATCTTATTGATTATTTCATTTTAAAACTTACACAGAGAGAAGCTGCTTCTTGCCTACTTCTTTAGAAACAGATCCATAGCAATTGATTATTTCTAAAATCTTTGAGTAATTTTCTCTCCTATGTTCTTCCGTGATGATATTATTTCATTGTGAGAACGAAATGAGAGATGGGTGTGTCATAGACCCACAGGAATGACCATTGCCCAGCACGCAGCCACACTTCATTAATTAAATCAAAGAAAGAGATTGGTTCCAGTCTCCTCTGATTTACCTACCCTACTCTGGTGGGGGTTAGGGACAGGCGGGGAGGATTTCCAAGCCTGTTTTTATCAGCCCAGCAAATCAGAGTCCTGCTTTCTAAACAAAGAGGTGCCAATCTTGAGACTCCATGAAAGCCAGCACAAGCCAGGCATTGTACACAAGTGAAAAGAATATAATTAGCAAAGTTATAGTCACAATTAGGAAATACTTCCTCAGAAAAGTTTCCACTTAACTCTGAGCAGTGCTCAAATTACCATTGTGCTTAACAAGGCCTCTGTCTCTTGGCCAGCTCAGACCTTTGTGACATACCAGCACCGTCCACAAAACACAGAAGCACAAAATCTAATACTGGATTTTTTTTTTTTTTAAATAACACGTGAAAAAATGTGCAAATTGGAACATGGAAGCTATAATTCAAAAAAATAAGAAGCATTGTCCCAGAAATGACTAGTCAAGTGTTAGCTAAATTATTCTTTCTCCCAGCTCTTTCTTCGTCTTCTCCAGCCTTCCCTTTTCCATCCCTAAAAAGCAGTTAGAAAAGAGAGATTAGGAAAGCAAAAATGGGTACTCACTTCATCTCCAGGATCTCCTCCAGCTGCTTCCTCCTTTCTATCCGGAGGTTGGCCAAGTGCGCTTCTTTTTCAGCCAGGGACTGCTGTGTGGAGGCGAGGCGTGCCTTGGTGCCGTCCAGTTCCTGTCTGGTCTTCTCCAGTGCATTCATCAGTTCCTCTATCTGAAAGGCACATGCACCGTGGTGTGTTATTTCTCCTTCATTCAAGTACAAGGCATTCCTTGCTAGCCTGTGTTCTGACAATAGCCGCAAAGGAATCATAGCTATCCTTGAACTGGGCACTGTATCTTGGAGTCCATTCTTTCTTTGTTACCCATTAAAAATAAATGTTTCAAACACGAGAAATGTCCAAATTTCTCCAAGATCCCCATTCAATTGGATTGTTCAATAACCTTTATAGAAATTATTTAATATACTTATCAGAAGTGGAGGGTGAGTGGCTTGACCCAATCTCAACCTGTGTTTGGCAAAAATCTCAGATACTGCCTCACAGTTGGCGGAAGGCAACACTCAAAATGCATTTTGCCCGGCACAATATACTTTTGTGTGTAGGCCCCAGCGTATTCGGACAGGAAGTTAATCTACGTATTTCAGGTTCATTCATGTTTTAACCTATGAAAGCCTTGTTTGGCAAAAGTGATTTGATGTCCAAGAGGCCTCAGGAGCCCCCTCTCACCTCACCTCCCTGCCTCACATTCAGGAAGTAAGGTTTGGCCAAAGGTAAACAGAATTCCAGCCACAAAAGGTTCAAGTTTGGTGTGCCCCTGAAGTTTGAGAGGGTTCTAAACTTGAAATAAATGACATGTAACTTTTATAGGGTGCTAATACAGCATAGAAATAAGCCAGACTATCAAATATCCCGGGTTTTCAGCCAGGTCCCAAAAAATTGGACCAGGGAGCCCCACGGCAAGGCTTTATCCTCCCCAAACCATTGAGGGTTTTTAAAAGCCAACACTCAACAAAGAGGGCTGGTGTTTATGGTTCTGTTCCAGAGACTTCCGTGGAGCAAGCTGGTGAAATGCCATTCCTTGCACAGATGCAGACTGCATTCACCCTGCTGATTTAAAACTATGGTTCCAGGAAGTTTCTAGATTCCAGAGTTGATGTTTGGGTTTCTAAGCCACCCCTTCCAGCCGAACTTGGCAGAATGGGATCATCCATCACTAAAGTCAACAGAACACCCTTCAAAATGTGTCAGTGACATGTTAAGTTCCAATTTATAAAGACTTTCTACACAATTTCTGCAGTTTTACATGGAATTTATTCAGAATAAGCACTATAGTTCACATCCAAGGTAAATTACAAGCTTTTAAGATTGAGAAAACCCTCCATTTTTCCCTGATAAAAAGAGGAAACTTGATGACCATGTAATGTAAATCAAAGCCAAAACCAAAAACAGTTTAAAAAACAAGGAATATAATGGATAACCTATGAAAACCACAGAACCACACCTGTTTAACTATAGAATAAATGGCATTATTCCTTAACTTTACAGATATACAAAATTTAAAAAGCAATCATAAACTTTTTAGTTTCTCACAGAAGTTCACAGAAAATCATAAACATGACTAAAAGTCCTTCTACAAAGCAATACGTGGTGAGGCTGAAGCAGAGTTTTTATTTTTCCCTATTTTTGATACACTCAATAACAGTGTAAAAAAGATGAGAATTATGGTCATTCCAACTGCCGACTCAGATACCGTCTGTCTGATCCTCCATATGGGATGGCCTGTGTCTTTGTGACCCCATTTCCTTTCATAAATTGTTCTTCATTCCAAATGTACTATTGAACCCAGAGAAGAGGGAAAGTACCCAGGATACTTGTCTGCAATCCATAGACATAGAGCTACTCAACTGGGTTTCCAAGTTCTTAGTTCACCTACCACCTGACTGCTTGGGGCAGGCACCAGCTAGTTTTATATTAACCCAACTTTAACAATTACACTTTAGAGTAATGACTTGCAGGCTGCCCCGGTCATTTCAGCAATAACCACATGGAGAAACCTGGGCACTTGAGGGATGTAATCCAGAGTTTTTACTGATGGAGATGCCATTGGCTTCCAACGTCAATAACTCCTAGTATGAGGTGAGACTGCTATTCTCAACACCTTGGAAGCAGAGTCTTGAAACAGTTTCCCAGGCCAAGGCGTCCCACTCCTCCTAATTCATGTGCCCCTGGCTAGTGAATTAGGGTGCTCCTAATTCACCCTGAGGACCACCTTGGGCACTGGAATCAGATACACTGCTCTAGTCTTAGCACAACAACTGTTTCTCTCAGTAACTTTCTGTAAATAATCACTTGACCCTTGAAGTCTCAGTTTCCTAGATGACGCCCATGATACCTCCCGTGTTAATCATTCTACAGTTCTGCAAACTGTTTCCTTTGCTACCAAGCAGGAGCATTAAAAAGTGAGAAATGTTTTCTCTGCTATGGTGGTCATCAAGGTGGTTCACAGTTTTCCAGCTCTCCTCCTTATGGGCACGTGGTAGGACCACACTTCCCCTCTCCCTTTAAGTTGGGTGCAACTTCGGCCAGTAAAATCATTGTCAGTTCCAGGTAGAAGCATTTAAGTACTAGCACTTAACCCCAACCTTCCCTTTTCCCTGCCATGATGACTGTAGAAGCATGTTTCAGATGATGTCTCCTTCAGCCTGAGCCCCTGAATGACCACAATGAAGCCCAAGGCCAACTCACATCACAAAAGCAAGGTATAAACCTTTGTTGGCTACACCATGAGATGAGAGGCTGTCTGTTACCCACAACTTGACCTGCCTGTCCTGACTGGTGAACTGTCACACTTCTTATCAAGTGCTCTACACCTGCCTCCATCTCTCCACCACAAGTCCACTCTCATCAAGAGGACATTGGTTTTTATTCTTGGTATTCTATGGAAACTCTACTCTTGCAGGCCACTGGTACCTTCCTTCTTGCCAAGTGCCTTTTCTTAACGTGTAGCTTGCGCAGCTAACTACCCCCCTAGCCCCAACTTCTTTGCCTCCTCTGAAGTAACATTCTAGCTGGCTATGTATACGTAGTTTGTGTCTTAAAAGTCACCAGATTAGAATCATGGCTCCATTACTTACTATGTGACTGACATAAATTCCTTAATCTCTTTCAGCTTCAGTCTCCTTATCTGGAAACAGGGGACCATGTTGCTTACTCTGTTAGATGTTTGTGGGCATTAAGTGAGATAATGTAGCCTATAAGTCATTTATTCTTCTTCTTCTAACTGATATCAATAAAATAACATTTTTGCTGATAATAAGAATAAAGCACGCTCATTATACAGAATCTAAAAGATACAGATATGAACACTTAAATTTTTTCTTTTGATTTGAGATTAAATAATGATATTTTTCTTAGATAAGATCCCACCACCTGGAGATAAACACATTAAACATTTGATTATAATTTCTTCATCTGTGTGTGTGTGTGTATGTATGTATAATTGAGATGCTATATATAATTTTCTAAACAGTTTTCAGTAAATGTATCATGAGAATTTTCCCTTGACTATTTAATGTGTGAGTGGGGCTATATCTACCTCCCATTTTCCTAAAAACCAACTCTTCCCTTGGGTTCTCTGAAGCTCCTCTTAGATTGGGAACATATTTCCCCTGCTTCTTCTTCAAATTCTTCATCTTCCTGCAGCCCGTACGACTCTGTCCTAGAGATATTTTCCTCACCCAGACAGATCCTCAAGAGGAGGACTGAGATCTGTCTCCACAACTCTTACCTCTATGCACATACTTTTCCAAACTTTATCTCCTTTTACTCACTTAACCTCTTTCACATATGCCACCTGTTGATCACTTCCATTGGATGTCCTAATATCACTTTAAATTCAGGATGACCAAAAGCCAACTCATGATCCATGCACATCTGCCTAAACCAAATCCTTACTACCTATGCTCCCTCCCAACCTGCCACTCCCTAACACATCCACCATTTTGGTCCAACACCCTGACCTTTTCTCAGTCACTCATGTTTAAGAGCCATAATTGTCTCTTCCCTCTCCTTCCTCTTTTATTTTCCATTCATCTCCAAGCTCTATTTTGGAAACACTTCTCAGATACATCATTTCTTTCTATCATTACTTTTGATGTTCCAGGCTCAGGTCCCTTCCCCTCCCACATTTATGATAGGATTGAAAATAATTATGTGTGCATGCACACAGGTGTGTGTGTGTGTGTGTGTGTGTATTCCTAGCCTTTGTCTCTACCCCTACCCTAAGTAAGGATATGGCTTTGCCTGATCAGCTTCTCCCCCACCACAGCATATCTCTCAGCCAGGTCTCCTCCCGGATTTTAGGAAATGGAATCAGCAAATGAGTAGCAAAGTGAATCTAGGAAACTTGGTGCAAAGGTATAGGACTTTGAAGCACAGGCTATGATGATCTATATAATAAAAGGTGGGAGCAAGAAGTAAGAGGAAGAATGAGCCCTAAGACTGAGGATAGAGAGAGGTTTTGTTTTGGTTTAAGGGCAGAATAAGAGAATGGGAAAGAAGGGAAAAAGGGAAGGGGAAAAAAAGTTGCTAGGGGTTATTCCTGGGGCCTCTTCAATGTTTTACAAAGACACAAATTGAAGGTTAGACTTCTCTTTTGATTTTTTTCAGCTGTTTTGACTGTGTGTCTTTGAACTGGGTCTTGGGGGTCTGAGATTCAAAGATGTCCCACAGGACTTACTGTCATAACTTGTCTCCCTACTGCCAGGAAAATATACCTAAACTATCAATATTTTGTCAAAAATATCACTAGTCTGGCTCCAACATCTCAAGGGGTTCCTGATTAACCTCACTAGTGGTTTTCAAATTGTGTTCCCCAGAGCACCAAGGGTTCCACAAAGGCACCTGGGGGCTGATAAGCAGGTCAGTGAGTGAGAGGAGGAGTGTGAACCATCAGAGACGTGCATCCGCCATCCCACACTCAGGAAGGTGTTCTACTCTCATTTGTTTTATATATGGCATTCCACTTAGGATTTAATTTTAAATTTAAAATTTTTTTTAATATTAAAATACTGAAAATGGTTAAAAGCATGGATTATGGAGCCAGACTGGACTAATAATATCTGCTTCACCACTTATTAGTTATGGAAACTTGGGAAAGTGTCTAAGTTTCCTCATCTCTAACAATAGTACTTTTTGTAAGAGTTACTACAAG